GAGCTCATCATTAAGTCATCAATTGATTAGGAAAAATGAATGTTACTAAACCAAGTGTCTGATAGCTAGGGTGCCAATTCTAATGACCTGCTTTGTCCTTTCCCCCCTTTCTCACTATGCACGTTCTCCTGTATGTTTGAACCATCAACATTTTCACTGGACAGACATCTCGGGCTAAACAGAGACCAAGTGATATGGTTAATGAACTTTTCCCTACCACAATGTACTGACCCAATATTGTATATGGGGCTGAAAAGTTTGTTATCAGCTGGCTTTTTTCTCCTCCTGGACTCTTCAGTAACTTATCAGTATGTAGAATAGTGTGCCACCTTGGTTGCTTATTGCTAGTTATGTTGATCCAGAAAAGGAACCATATTTTAGGATGCTTTTGAGATTCTCAGACACAAAATAGTTCAGACCACCAGGAAGAATAAAGTATCAACATTTACCAATAGAGGAACTTGCTTTATGGTGTTGAACAAAAGGCGTTTTCTCAGGAAGTCACATCAGAGAATTGTACTATGGCCATGGTACCCTCTTTCCAAAAGATTTTATAGTAATAGAAAAGATTTTATACTAAAAAGATAAAACTGAAATTTTAATAAAAAAGCAACACCACATCTAGATTCCACCATATCTCATAAAAATTCTACTTTGAATCTGGACACAGGTGGCTCATGCCTGTAATCCTAGCTACTCAGGAGGCTGAGGTCTGAGGATCACTATTCAAAGCCAGCCTGGACAGGAGAGTCCATGAGACTCTTTTCTACAATTAACCACAGAAAACCGGGAAGTGGCATTGTAGCTCAAGTGGTAGAGCACTACCCTACAGCTGAAGAGCTCAGGGAAAGTTCCCAGGCCCAGAGTTCAGGCCCCATAAAAGAGAGAGAGAAAAAATTCTACTCTGGGGAGCACAGTGATGGATGCACAACTGATACTCTCTTACTGATCAATACTGCGAAGCAAAAAGCAGTAAATGATAGACGTGATCTTTCAGTCACCCTTCACAGATGGTATTTGAGGGGCAACTGATTTCAGTTATTTTCCAAAAACTTATTAGTTGACCTTAATCACTTAAAAAGGGCTGCTGAGAATAGTGGAATACCTCTATAGTGCTAGCTACTCAGGAGGCTCAGGCAGAAAGATTGCTTGAGCCAGGAGTTCAAGGCCAACCTGAGCGAGTAAGATTCACTTATCTCAACAAAAAATAAATGAAATTATATATTCATAGTCTAAAAACTATAAAACAAACAATATCCCTGTAGAGACTAAACACTTATATGATACAAGTAAAAATTTTAAGAGCTTTGGTTATCCTGCAACTTTAATGCGGGATTAAAAAAAAAAACTTCATTTGCTTAATTTTTCAGAAGCTTTAACAATACAAAACTCAGATCAATGTCAGAAAGCAGTATTTTTTATTCCTCTTCCTTCCCCACTCAAGTATCTCATAGTAAATTTAAAAAAGCTTCAGAGATGTGTAAAATTGAGAATCTACTCTAAAGATTTGTTTTCTCACTTCCATTTCTTTCCAAGTCCACAAATGAAGTCGTTTGCTAGCAAAACACCCACAATAAAATTCTGAAAAGACAGGATTTGAGCTAGAATCAAGTTTCCTCCCTGCCGTTCCAGGCATCCTCTTCTTTCCACACTTCAGCACTAGCAGACAAGAAATAAGCAACAATTGTTATGTCCAAAACCACCAAGTCCACATTTCCAAAGGCACAAAATATTTCAGTTTAGGAGGGGAAAAAGTAATGTGATAGCTCAGTGAAGTAAGTTTGTGTAGTTAAAGCATTAAAAGTATCAGCCTTTATTTTGTGACAAGTTTATTAAACAGTATTCAAAGACTTCATCTTTATAAACAAACAAAATAGTGCTGAATAATGCCAAGGCAGTGTTTGATGGCAATGCTGAGTCCATATTTTCAACAAGCCATTTAACTGAGTTTGGGTTTTAAAGTTTCGATTACTACAGAACTGCCAATAAAACAATTTAAGCAAAATAATTTAAATGTGGTAATTTGGTTCCAGTATTGAACCTTAAACTCAAGAACCTGGCAGCACTCTTGCTCATAGCTGGTGCTCATAGCTGGTGCTCTACCATGTGAGCCAGGCCAGCTCTTTGCTGTTTAATTGGAGATGGAGTCTCACACACTTTTCTGCCCAGGCTGGCTTTGAACTGCAATCCTCTAGGTTTCAGTCCCCTAAGTAGCTAGGATTAACTGTGTAAGCCATTGGCACCCAGCTGGAAATAAAAATTTTTAAGTGATCACTACAAAAATTTCTTCCAAAAGCTTTAACTAGCAATTTTACATATTCTTTACTTGGCTTTCAAGTGTTCTTAAAATTATGAGTGGATTTTTACAAATGTGTCCCAAAATTGTACATAATCACAAAATCCAGTAAAACAGTTGTAATTTGAATAAAGCTTTTATGTTTCCTTATTTTTATTCAAGGTGATGATAACCACCTAACAACACCCATGTTTGCTTACTTCCATAGACAGTCCTAAATTTCCATCTAGTGGATGAAACTGACCTTAACTTTATTGAATATTACTACCTCAAATTTTTAATTAAAAGTCTGTAATGAAGTTTTAATTGTCAATGCTTTGACAAGTTGGAATACAAGATTAGCAACTACATTTTACTGTGTTGCATTAAAACAAAACAAAAAAACAGAATGCAGCCACTAATAATCGTACACCCAAACTATAGCATAAAACACAGAATATTCCCAAGTTATTCTTGCACTAAATCTTTCACGGAAGTTCAAAAACATTTACAAATTTTCTTATTTATAAAATACATTTGTGGGTTTCTCTAATCCTTTAAACCAAGAAAAATAACCACCAAAACTCAGGAGAAAAAAAATTAAGCCTAATGGAAATATCTTCCATTAAAATGTCTAAGTCACCAAGAACAGACAATAAAATGTACACATAAAATTTAGAATACCGTGATAGTGTTTACAAATGCACACTACGTTGAGCAAAGCTTTACAAATCCTTCATACCATACAAAAGAAATGAGAAAATCATGCAAATTCAATTCTACCCCCAACCTAGTTCTTAAGAGACAATTTGTAAGAACGGTATGAATAGTTTCACAAACACATTTTCATTATTAGAGAACAAAAAACAAAAAAGCCTGAAACTCTAATGCCCAGAAAAAAAAAATAAAACAGTATGCTTAGCAGTTAGCACTATGTTAATAGTCTCAGGTATACAGAAATCAAGTTCCAGAGGGCAAAGCATTTAATTATATTTCACAACCAGCACTGTTGTGATTCAACAAAATAGGAAGCACACTTTCTCTCCAATTTCTACACAAACCACTATTTTCTGAATTTATTTGACAATGAGATCAAGATATCCTTTTTAGTATTTATCCAAAATGTAGAAACTAGATGCCATAAAGTGTATGGATTATTTAATAAGAATGTATGATCATAAAAGCAAAATAAATTATGAAAAGGATAATAGGACCCATTTTTCTAAAGTGAAAATAACTTTTCAAAGTATAAAATAATCTGTTTTAGAAACAAATGCCCAAACAGCACTGATATGGGATTTTTTGTTTGTTTTGCACTATCTTTGGGATTAGAAATCATTAATAATATGTGAAATCATAATACCTAGGCGGTACCTAATTATCTGCCAAGCCAATTTATATTTGTGATTTAACAAAAGACCCACAACACAACTCCCATTTTGAAAGTCTGAACAATCCTTTCCTTACACAAAACTCCTGGGCTGTCAATCCTCTATTGAAGTGATGAAAAGGCTTTTTCAAATCTCACCACACAAATGAAACTTTCCACTCCTAAATTACAAGCCACTGTATTTCAAATGCTCCACAAACTTTTACATCCAAAAGGCACTACATATTTTAATAGGAAATACTATTTTATAAGTCTAATCTCTTCATAAACATATTGGTTTGCAAGATGTTAGGATATTTCAAATCAAAAGGGCCATGTAAACAATAACATTTCCATAATAATTCACAAATCTCCTATTTTGTTTATCATGTGACACATCTTTAGAGCATTTTAACTAAAGAAACCCTAGTGTCTAATGTGTCAGTAAGACATTGTAAGATAAATGTTTTATAAGGAAAGAAACTTAACCACCAGAACCTATGTGGTCCTCCTACTTTAGTGTCCTGAATGCTAAAGAATATTAAAGCTCAAGGAATCTCAATTGTTCCTTTCTGACAACTGCACTTGTCATCTGCATAAAGAATTTTTCTTTTAAACAGTATCAAAATTGCACAGTATAAAAAACCCTCCAAGTTAACAGGATTAATACTTATCAACCTATATCATGAACCAGCACATATATCATATAGCTAAGACTTTCAACTTTAGTTTTAAAGCCAAGATATTATACTCTTTCTTATGAGTGGACCCCTCTGTTTACTAAAAGGTAAGTTGGGACAAAAGAAAATTGCTAAAACAATTAGTCCATAACAGACAGGACTTCTAATCAAGGACCTAAAACACTAATTACTAAAAGTGACTTCTGGCTTGCAATGCCAGCCAAACAACATACAGTTTTTAAGCTTACTAAACTAAAACTTGGCGGTCAAACCAAAAAGGCTCTGGTAGGTAGAGGACTTCATAGTTTATTTTTTATGGCAAAAATCATTCCACACAATTTTAAGTGTGACATTAGAAATCAAAATTCAGGGTTATAGCACAAATCAAGTGTGGAGTTTTATATTTAGAGATAAAACCAAAACAGTTCTGCTCATTTACAAATGAGTCAATTAGGCAAACAAAGCAGCAACATCTGAAGCAGGGCTGTCTATACATAAGAACCTTTAAGAAGCAATAAAGGTACATACAATGAATCTGTATACAGAGATTTTATTCAATTTTAAAAGAAAATGAAGATTTTAGACAAAGCTTTGACCCTATAACAAAGCAAATCTGTCCAGCTTTAAATCAAATTCCAAGAGTAGCCAATTTCTGTTTTTTATCAGCTTTCAAGAGCACCCTTGATGAGCTCCACTGACATTTCTGTTATCTTAATCCCATATGGTATAAAACAAAACCAATCTAGACTCCTTGATAAACTATATATGTCGTTGAATTTTACAAATGGTTTCCCTAATGGTAAGCCAAAATCATTTTTTGTGTTCTTTCCAGATAATTTACTGTAACATACAGCAATATTGATCCTGGAAGTGAATTGTAAACAGTCAACCAATGCTCTATGTTATAAAAACCAATCTAAATGCAATTGGGACAATCCACAGGTTCTAACCTGGAAATACTAAGAAAACAATCTGGATGCATTAATCACAGGAATATGAAAATCTGCCCATAAAGAACTGATGTGAACAGCTAACCTAATACAAGTTTTACTTTTCTTGAGCCTATAGGCCTATCATTTAAGTCAATAACAGCAGCTGTGGCTTCATCTCGAGATTCGAAGGCTACCATAGCTTCACCTGTAGGCATACCTTTCTCATTGTATTTTAAACACACTGAGCCTGGGATTACTTGATAACCATAAAAGAAATCTAAAATCTCATCAATAGACACAGTGAAGGGCATGTTCTGTACTTTAATAACTGTAGGTCCTGGTTTTCCAGAATTAGATCCAAATCCAGGGGGACCACCAATATGGATAGGGCCAGGGCCAGGGCCAGGGCCAGGTCCAAAGGCTGGAGGCCCACTCAAATGCCCAGGTGCACTTCCAAGACCAGGAGGACCACTTCCAAAGCCAGGGGGGCCACCTAAACTACCAGGGCCATTTCCAAAATTCTGAGGCCCCCCTCCAAATCCTGCTGGCCCACTTAAATTATTTGGTCCACCTCCAAATCCTGGAACTTCCAGTCCTAGACCAGGCAAACCACTGCTTCCAACTGAAGGCATACCAGGCCTAATATCACCAAAGGCCCCTCCTAATCCTGGAGGAGGGAGTGGGGGTGCAAAGGCATTTGACCCACCAAAATTACCAGGGAAGTTAAATGGAGGCCCGTTATTGGCTTCCTTTGATCCTACAGTCAGGAAAGCATGTTCTTCACCTCCTGCACCGGGCATCCCTGGACCGGGCATCCCTGGACCAGGTATCCCTGCACTGGGCATCCCCACACCAGGAATTCCCACACCAGGTATTCCTGCACCAGGTATTCCTGCACCAGGTATAGGTCCTGCACCAGGCAGTGCAGCACTCGGCAGTGGTGCACCAGGCATTCCAGCAGTGGGCATTCCTGCACTAGGCATTCCAGCAACAGGGATTCCAGCAGCAGGGATTCCAGCAGCGGGGATTCCCGCAGCGGGGATTCCCGCAGCAGGCATTCCCGCAGTGGGCATTCCCGCAGTGGGCATTCCAGCAGCAGGCATTCCAGCAGCAGGCATTCCTGGTACTGAAGGATTACCTGGCACAGGCATCTTTAATCCCTTTTTTCCTTGGGCAGGGGGATTTTTCTCAATCTCCCTCATATCTTCTAGGGTAACTACATGAACAAAAGCTTCTCTCCCATTCAGTTTTTTACGGTGTAAGTGTTCAGACTTACGTGCATCCTCTTCATTTTTAAACTGAACCAATGCCTGTCCTAGACCTTGCCCATTGTTATCAACAAGCACATGTACAGCATTTTCATCCACTGGGATTCCTTCTAGGAACTGAAGAACATCCATCTTCGTAATGCTGAATGGAATATTTGTTATGTGGGCACAGACTTTGGCAGAGTTGACATCCCCCTCTTGATTTAACATAACTTCCCTCTGGTCATAGCTGAAATTCTGAAGTCTTTTTCGAATTGTATCTATCTTTTCTAACATACCTTTCTTAGTAATCGGATGAACTTGAATAAAACGATTGCCCATGTACTGTTTATGACGACATAGAGCAGCTTTATAGTCAGCCTCATTTCTGAACTCTACGAAGCCTTCACCCGTTGCTTTCCCATTGGGTCCATAAGCTATATAAATACTATCTTCCACAATATCCAACTTCTTAAAAAAATCAATGACATGTTTGTTTTCTGCTTCAAATGGTAGTCCTTTCAAGTAAACACAAAAACCAGCCTCATGTGGCGACCTTGACCTTGACCTTTTCTGCCCACCAGGCGATTTTGACCTGGGAAGTGTTTGAGGAGGGGGATGGGCTTGTCCAGAAGGTGTCATACTTTGTTTAAAAGTGATGTGGCCTCCAGCAGCCACCCACTGTCTCTCTGTGGCAGGGCTAACTTCCACATAGCGTTGAATCATCAGCATTCTGTTTCGTTTCAAAGCTTCAAATGTATCTTGAGGAGAGAGAAACTTAACCAATCCATTCCCATTATTTCGACCTACATGATCTTTTAACAAATGCACTGCATCAACACGGAGCCCATGGAAAAAATCTCTGACATCATTTTCCATTGCAGAAAAGGGCATTCCATGCACACTAACATACAGATCATCAGGGTTGATGGGAAGTGGCTTCACGCTGCTTTGAGAGTTCATCTGGATAGGGTTTACAGGATTTAATGGACCCAAAAACATAGGGTTCATGTTATTGTTCAGATTCACAGGTGCTCCAGAGCCATTCATTCCAGCAGGTAGAGGTGCCACAGGTGGAGGATTCAAGGGTGGCATGCCTGACATGGGTGGTAGTGGGGTCATAGGTGGCACAGAAGGGACTGGGGGAATAGGAGGAACAGGAGGCACAGGAGGCAATGTAGGTACTGGAGGAGGAACTGGTATTGGGGGAATGGATGGCATCGGTGGCATAGATGGCATTGCTGGGATTGGAGGAATTGGTGGTGGTGGGACTGTGTTCATTGGAGAGGCTGTACTCGGAATAGTGGAACTGAACGTTGGGCTTCCAAAAGAAGCCCCCATATTTGGAGGAGCAGCTCCTACGCTGGCTGTAGAAAATGTCTGTATATTTTTGTTGCTTTCATGAACAGAAGTTGTAGCAGTAACTACACTTGGTGAAGGATTATTAAAGTTGGGTACTGTTGTAGGTAAATTTACCCTGCCACTCATTCCCGAACTAGGTGGCGGTCCTGATCTACTAGCATTTGCTGGTGGTATATCTATGTTGGCAGTTTCAAAACGCCTACGACTCAGTTCAATCATATTCTGCATTTCCGTTTTACTACTTAACAACAGTGTTACTTTTGACCCTTTAATTGTACCACCTGTGCGCATCATACCAAGCCTTGCATCTTCATCAGTGGCAAAAACGATGAAAGCCTCACCCAGTTCACCCCCTACAATATGCACGCCCCCATCAGGGATGGTCAATCCAGAGAAGAAGTGACGAATGTCCATGGTCCCCGCCACAATTGGGAGACCTTGCAAACGGATGACCACAGCCATGCTGCGCTGAAACCACACACACCTGCAGATGAGAAAAGGCAACGGCCAAGTCAGACTCCTGTTCATTATACCAACTTTTTAACTGCAAGAATGGCCAGCTACCATATTAGGCCCACAAGCTATCACAGGCAATGTCATTAATTTAGTTTAAAAACTGAGAAGTGTAATTTACAGCGTAAAACCTGAACAATTTCAACTTCCATAGACATTCATTCTACAAGCAATTAGAAGTTCCCATCCAAGACTAATGAGTTTCAGAGAAAAAACAAACAACTAGACAATAAAATCATAAAATATATCACTCAGACCACTAATTATTTATACTTAGTAAGATTTGAAAGAAATGTAAAGCCAAATCAGGAGACCACATTCAACAATCTATTGGGATGAAAATCTAAGACTGTATCCAAGTTAATATTTAAAACTGATTTAGTATCTTCCCTATACGCTTGACGGTTTTATAGAGGTCAGTTTCAAAATCCAAAAGCAGCAGAAAACCGTAATTTTAAATACTTAAAACTTAGAAATAGCACTGTAGCTCAAAGTGGTAGAGTGTAAAGAGCTTAAGGACAAGGCTGGGAATTGGCTTAATAGTAGAGTGCTTGCCTAGCACCCATGAAGCCCTGGGTTCCATTCCTCAGTACCACACGAGCAAAAAAAGGTGGAAGTGATGCTGTGGCTCAAGAGTAGAGCGCTAGCCTTGAGCACAGAGAGGTTCAGCGACAGAACCCAAGCCCTGAGTTCAAGCCTCATGACCAGCCCAAAAAAAAAAAAAAAAAAGACCTAAATAAAAACTAATTCCATTATTTCATCCTGAAAGTTTTCAAGCAACTAGTGGCTCACCCCTGTGAGCCCAGTCACTCAGGAGACTGAGATCTGAGTATTCAAAGCCAGCCCAGAGAGGAAAAATTCATTAGACTCTCATTTCTAATTAACCAAAGGTAGAAGTGGAACTGTGGCTCAAGTGGTAGAGTGCTAGACTTGAGCTGAGGGACAGCGCCCAGGAGCAGAGTTCAAGCCCCACGACCAAAAAAAAAAGTTTGCAATCTTCTATTTTTATTAAAATACCTATGGAGTCGGGGAAATTAATCTTCCTTCTATGATTATTAATACTACCTATGGAAAGGTAGATATGGGTAGCTCATACCTGTAATACCAATTACTTAGGAGAATCACAGTTCAATGTCAGCCTGAGTAGAGTCCATGAGACTCTTACCTCTAAATAACTACAAAAGAGCTGGAAATGGCATTGTGACTTCAAGTGGTAGAGCACTGGCCTTGAAAACAAAAGCTCAAGGACATTACCCTGGGTTTAAGCCCTAAGAGTGGCACACACACTCACTACTGAGTGCTGGCTGCTGGTGGGGCTCATACTGTAATCCTACCTAATAGGAAGCTGAGATCTGAGAATCCTGGTTCGAAGCCGACCCAAACAGACAAATCTGAGAATCTTAATCCCAATTTCCCAGGAAAAAGTCAAAAGTGGAGGTTTGGCTCAGGTGGTAAAGTGCCACTTGAGTGAAAAAAACTAAGTTGGGAACAAAAGAATGAATTAAACTCCAGTTAAACCTATCTATGGAATTACCACTATAAACAAAGTTAATTCATACTAAGAATCTAAAAGAAATACTAAGATAGCCAAAATCTAATTTAACCAATACTAGTCTAAAAAGTAGAAACTGTTTACAGTATGATTACTGTGGATGTTCTAATTAATTAAAATGCAGGTCAAATACTTATTCCCAAACTCTTGACTTAAAAAAAAAAAATGCAGGCAGGCCAGGTACCAGTGGCTCACACCTGTAATCTAGCTACTCATGAGGCTGAGATCTGAGAATTGAGGTTTAAACCTAGCCTGGGCAGGAAAATACATGAGACTCTTTTTTTTTTTTTGTCAGTCGTGGGGCTTGAACTCTGGGCCTGGGCGCTGTCTCTCAGCTCTTCAGCTCAAGGTGAGCGCTCTACCACTTGAGCTACAGCGCCACTTCTGGTTTTCTGGTAGTTTATTGGTGATAGGAGTCTCACGGTCTCTCCTGCCCAGGCTGGTTTTGAACAGTGATCCTCAGATCTCAGCCTCCTGAGTAGCTAGGATTACAGGCATGAGCCCCCAGCGCCTGGCTAAATACATGAGACTCTTATCTCCACTTAATTACCAGAAAACTGGAATGGATACTGGAAATGTGGCTTAGTGGCAGAGTGCTTGCCTACTATGCATAAAGCTCTGGTTTTGATTCCTCAGTACCACATCCAGAAGTATGGCTGAAGTGGTAGAGTGCTAGCTTGAGCAAAAGAAGCTTTTGCCAGGACTGGCAAAAAAAAAAAAAAAAAACCACAGAAGTGGAACTGTGGCTCAGAGGTAGAGCAGTAGCCTAGAGGAAAAAAAAAAAAACAACAGCTGGCAGGAGTAGCAGCTTGCACCTGTAATCCGTGCTACTCAGCGGAGATTTAAGGATCATAGAAGTCAGTCTGGGCAAGAAAAGTTCATAACACTTATCTCTAACCACCAAAACCTGGAAGTGGAGATGTAAATCAAGTGGTAGAATGCTGCTGGCCTTGAGAAAAAGCTCATCAACAGCACTTAGGCTCTAAATTTAAGCCCCAAGACAAGCACAGAAATGAGTAATGATGGTCAAAATACTTTATATACATGTGTCAAAAAGAACAATGAAACCTGCTGAAATTGTTTTAAGAATGAAGAAGAGAGAATGAGGGAGAGACAGAAAGGGTGAAGGGTTTTGAATGCTAGTCCTAGGGCTTGAACTCAAGGCCTGGGCACTGTCCCTGAGCTTTTTGTGCTCAAGGTTAGCACTCTACCGTCTGAGCTACAGCTCCATTTTGGCTTTTCAGTAGTTAATTGGGTATAAGAGTCTCATAGACTTTCTTGCCCTGGTTGGCTATTAACCACCACACTCAGATCTCAGTCTCCTGGGTAGCTTGGATTTTTTTTTTTTTGGGGGGGGGGGTCTGGTGGTGGGGCCTGAACTCTGGGCCTGGGCGCTGTCCCTCAGCTCTTCAGCTCAAGGCTAGCACTCTACCACTTGAGTCACAGCTCCACTTCCGGGTTTTTTCTTTTTGCTTATGTGGTGCTGAGGAATCAAACCCAGGACCTCAGGCATACAAGGCAAGCGCTCTACCACTGAGCCAACTTCCCAGCCCCAGTAGCTTGGATTTTAATGTGAGCCACCAACACCTAGCTTGAGAGGGTGAGTTTGACTGAAGTACATTGTATACATGTATGGAATTGTCACAATGATGGGACTAGGAAGGTGGCTCAGTGGTAGAGCGCTTGCCTTGCATACCTGAGGCCCTGGGTTCGATTCCTCAGCACCACATAAGCAAAAAAAAAAAGCCGGAAAGTGGTGCTGTAGCTCAAGTAGTAGGTGCTGTAACTCAAGTAGTAGAGTGCTAGCCTTGAGCTGAAGAGCTGAGGGACAGCGCCCAGGCCCAGAGTTCAGGCCCAAGGACTGGACCCAAAAAAAAAAAAATCAAGACTCTTATCTCTAATAAATCACCAGAAATCTGGAAGTGGCCCTGTGGCTCAATTGGTAGAGCACTAGCCTTGAGCTGAAGAGCTGAGGGACAGTACCCAGGCCCACAACCAACAATACCACCAAAAAAAAACCCAACAAACTAAAAAGCAAAGATTACAATTGTGTACCTGTAAACTGAAAGCTGAAGCAGAAGAATCTGCAATCAAGACTAGCTTGGGCTTCATAAAAAGATAAGAGCTCTGCACCGGTGGCTCTCGCCTGTAATCCTAGCTACTCAGGAGGCAGAGATCTGAGGATCACCGTTCAAAGACAGCCCGGGAAGGAAAGTCCATGAGATTCTTATCTCCAATAAACCACCAGAAAACAAGAAATGGCACTGTGGCTCAAGTGGTAGAGTGCTAGCCTTGAGCTGAAGAGCTGAGGGACAGAGCCCAGGCCCAGAGTTCAAGACCCACAACCGACCAAAAATAAATGAAAGAAGGAAAGGAAGGAAGAAAGAGAGAAAGAGAGAGAGAGAGAACAAACCCTAAGGTTTAAACTTTCCTCAGTGATTGTTACATACTCTGGCCCATTCTAACTTCTGTGGGATCACTGGTTATTTTCTGATCTTCTTAGATAACACCTACTTTGACTTGGTCAAAGGAAAATTTTCTCCCAAATTTAAACCAATTTCATTATATCAGGTTTGTTGAGACCAGGACTTGAATTCACTATCTGATGCTTTCACTCATTGGCTCCCATTCTACCACCTGAGCCATGTCTCCAAATGCCCAGTATTTCAGTTTTAATCGAACTTTTTAAGTTGACACTCTTGAGAACAGAAAACATATCAATTTGAAATTAATATGGTCAAATCAACTTTTAAATATAAGTCTTTTAAACTGGCTTAAGACCTCAACGAAATTACAGTCTAGTTTCATCACTTCTGAAGCAAAAATATTAGAAGGAGTAAATTTTCCTGAGTGCCAGCAATCCTAGATACTCCAGAGACTCAGATCCAAGGATCACAGTTTGAAGCCAGCCTGGAAAGAAAAGTCTGTGAGACTGATTTCCAATTAACCACCAAAAAAAGCCAGAAGTAGAGCTGTGCTCAAGTGGTAGAGTGTTAGCCTTGAACAAAACAGCTGAAGGGCAATGCCTAGGCCCTGAATTCAAGCCTCAGGATCGGCACCAAAAATAAAACAACCAAAAAATAATAATAATAACTGCTTAAAAAACTCTTTCCAGCCAGGTACTAGTGGCTCATGTCTGTAATTCTAGCCACTCAGGAAGCTAAGATCTGAGGATTGTGGTTCAAAGCCAGCTTGGGCTTTACAAAAGTCCGTGAGACTCTTTTTCTTTTTTTTTTTTTGGTCGGTTGTGAAGCTTGAACTCTGGGGCGAGGGTGCTGTCCCTGCGCTCTTCAGCCTTTCCTGTCCAGGCTGGCCTTGAACCATGATCCTCAGAGATCTCGGCCTTCTGAGTAGCTAGGATTGCAAGCGTGAGTCACCGGCACTCCGCTGAGACTCTTTTTTGTTGTTGTTGGCACCCGGCTGAGACTCTTTTTTTGTTGTTGTTGATAGTGGGCCTGGGCACTATCCTCAGTTCTTCAGTTCAAGGCTAGCGCTCTACCAGTTGAGCTACGACGCTACTTCGGTTTTCTGGTCGTTAATTGGAGATAAGAGTTTCAAGGACTTTCCTGCCTGGGCTGGTTTTGAACCTCAATCCTCAGATTTCAATCTCCTGAGTAGCTAGGATTACAGGCATGAGCCACCAGCGCCCTGCGCAGCTCAGACTCTTTATCTTGAATAAACCACCAGAAAACTGGAAGTGGTACAGTGGCTCAAGTGGTAGAATGCTAGCTTTGAACTGAAGAGCTGAGGGACAGCACCCAGGCCCAGAGTTCAAGCCCAACAACTGACCAAAACAAGCAAACAAAAAACCTGTTTCCTGGGGCTGAGAATGTGGCTTCGCGGTAAGAGTGCTTGCCTAGCATGCATAAAGCCCTGGGTTCCATCCCTCAATACCACATAAACAGAAAAATCCAGAAATTGTGCTATGGCTCAAGTGGTAGAGCACTAGGCTTGGGCACAGAGAGGTTCAAGGACAGTGACCAGGCAGCCCTTAGTTCAAGCTCCAGGACTGGCAAAAAAAAAAAAAAAAAACTGTTCCCTGTTACAAAAGCTTTAAACAATTATGCAACTCTTTGCAAGGAGTTCTTCAAAGTCAAGTGTTGTATGCAAACGAATTTAATAATAAAATCTATATCGATATCTCATTGTAGCACACATAAAGCAAATATATTGTTCGATTTTGATAGTTTTCTTAAAGTTATAAACAATCTTCAAATTTAATCTGGAAAGATGAACTAGCAAACAGAAAATGTAAGACCATCATAAACACACTAGAAATTTGGGGAGGGTGTATAAAGATGTATTGGTTGCAAGTCAGTAAGAAAAAATTTTTAAAAAATCACATATGTTGGGCACCCATGGCTCACACCTGTGATCCCAGCTACTCAGGAGGCTGAGATCAGAGAATCATGGTTCAAAGGCAGCAAAGGCAGGAAAGTCTGTGATACTCGTATCTCCAATTAACCACCAGAAAACCAAAAGTGGCACTATGGCTCAAAGTTGACAGAGTGCTAGCCTTAAGCTGAAGAGCTCAGAAATAGCATCCGGACCTTGAGTTCATGAACAAAAAAAAGAAAAAGAAAAGAAAAAAAAATCACTTGGACTTTCCCCTTATTTACTATGTAGCAGCCTAAAAGGAAATTTATGAATAGATTTCCAGGTAATCAAACCAAGTTTACATTCTTTACTGAATCTGGAATATATGGCTGTATGTAAAATTGAGACAGCATTTCTGTTCAAATTAAAAAACACAACTTCCTATAAAAGAAAATCTAGGTACTCAAAACAGCGAGATACATTACTTCAAACATGAACATTAAGATGAGAACTTTATTATGGTCTCAAGAACAGAAAATTAAACAGAAAGCTAAATGTCATAGAAGTCTTTTTTTACTGATATTTAATAAACAATCTGTACAAAGGTAGGCTGAAAACACAATATTGAAAAATCTGCCTCAGATTACCAACTACAAAAGGGCGAAAGATTAAACCAAAGTATAGCACTTGACTTATTGATAAAGCCTTCTGAAGAAAGCAATTTTTAGGTTGTGAAAAATATAAAATAGCATCTGTTACCTGCTGTTAAGTACCTGTTTAAGAGGCAAGTCATTTCCATCTATCTTAAGCCTAGCTTAGATACTTAAATGAAAAGGTTAGATTCAACTATACTATAAGGTTTCATCTGAAGTCTAAAATACACTCTAAAATAACCATACCAATAACAACCAACTATATTAATAATTCATCTAGAAAGCTTCTAAGGGAGAACATACACCAACCAGCTACTTTCTACTTAACAGTAAGAGTGCAGGAAAATTCATGACCTCAAAGAGTATAGGAAAATTCATGATCCCGCCCCACCCCTCAGGATTAATAATAATAAACTTGTAAGTATACACACAATATAGTTACTACACCTATTTGTATGTTTCTTAATAAGCTATTTTCATCTTATTTTGTATAAAAACAAGCCCCCTGTTCAAAATCTCTTACCTGAGTACACAAGAGATGTATTTTCTTAATAAGAAGAAGAGGCCAAGTCAATCCTGTGGGCAACCAATTAAAACCAACTTTTAGACTGCAATAGAGAATAAATGGAGGCAAAAATCAATTCAGGAAACAAAACAACACGCACAGGCCACACTGAACTGTACATTACCAAGGCGAGTCTGAAACCACAAGCACTTCATTAGAATGCACGTATCGAAAAGAAATAAAAAGACTAAACCAAAATCCCACACATGCTTTTAACTTGGTATTGCTTTCAAATGTGAAGGTCACTCAAAATATTTTCATATGTGCAAAGAGTGTCAGAAACCAATGCAAGAATAAATCAATTGAAACTGAAACAGCAATAAAAGTTCAGCTTCATAGTAATTTTTATCACTTGATAATTATACCAGTTCATAAATCACAAATCCAACTTCAACCTAGTCCCCAGATTCCTACCAAATTTTAGTGAAAGTAGAAGCACAGGCTCACATAATAACAATTCCTGGACAAGTAAGTCATCAACCAAGGTTACTCATGGAAATTACTGCAGTTCCTCTCATATTTTCCTTTCCAACAAAACATCATCAATCATGACAAAAAAAATGTAACTGAAATATTTAAGTTTTGGGTATATAAACTAATTTCACTTATATTCATCACATTAAGGTAAAGTTCTTTTAATACCACAACACCCCCACCCCCCAAAAAAAAATCCTGCTTGAAAAATTCCCTAAGTGCCTGGTACTTCCAAAAGTAAAAGCCACCAATCTTTCACTGGGATTTCCTCTAAATTGGTGAGATGATAAGCAATTCAAAATATACATAATCAAATGATTAAACAATTATATTTAAAAGATTATTTATTTATTTTTGTTCAAGTCCTGGGTCTTGAACTCAGACCTGAGTGCTCTTCATGGTTAACCCTCTACCACTTGAACCATAGCTCCATTCTGGCTTTCTGATGATTAAATGGAGATGAGTCTCATGAAAAAAAAAGAAAAAAAAAAGTCTCATGAACTCTCCTGCCCAGGCTGGTTTCAAACCCTGATCCTTAGATCTCAGCCTCCTGAATAGCTAGGATTACACGTGTGAGCCACTGATGCCAGCTTTTTTAATAAGTAAAAAGATTTTTAATCAAAGAGTATGTTCTGTCTGGATCTTAACTGGTGATCTTCCTGCCTCAGCCTCTCAAGAGTGCTGGGATAGATGACAGGTATGTACTACTACATCTGGCTTAACAGATCACTGTCCTATAATTAAGGATAAAATGTCAATAGAAGACTACTTATCTGAATGATGGTTTTAATGTCTTTCAAAAATCAAGTTACAAATGAGTTTAATATTCATCATCAAAAAGTAAAGCAAATTTCAAGAATCGTGTTATTATGTACTTTACTCAAACTGATTAGTGAGACTGTTTTGCCACAAAAAGCTTTGTAAATGATGGCCTGGGGGTGTGGGTCAAGTGGTATACCCAAGCCAAGGCCCTAACTTCAAACCTATCTACTGCCAAAAAAGTTAGACAAATGTTATAAACACATTTTCAAAAGTCCAAACCATTGAATTAATCTTTGACTTATACAAATTTATCCTAATTAAATCTAAAGAGTTTTAAAACTCTTCATTTACAAGCCAAATCCAACAGTTTCTGTAACTGATCACAAAGGGAAATGAAAAAAAAAAAACTTGCTTCAAATAAAGCCATAAGAAAGGTCAAGTGTTATTGTAATTTTTAGTTCTAAATGTACAGTGTCAATTCTAGAAACTGCAAAAACAGGGTTATTTTCTAATTAAATTTTGTAATAAATCTGACACCTACTGCACATTCTAATTCAAAAGGTCTGGTATGAGGCTAGGGCATATACTCTGAATATAAGGGAAAACCAAACCGGTTCCTTTCTTTTCTTTCCTTTCAAACCTAAGACATACTATGCCCTTGATGGGGAGGATAAATTCAAGTCAGCCACTTAAACCCTAAAGGAACTCACTAAGCTCTACCCAAAAACTTGAACAAAATGGCCAGAAAGGAGGAAAATTCTTATTCCACAAAGGTTCAACATCTGGGTGATTTTGGTAAATGTTTTGCTCAAAAGTTTTGTGTTCAATTTATAGCACAAAACCAATCCAAACATAAAAGGGAAAGCCTATTCTACCAAGGGGGGAAAGATTGAGAATGTCAAAGCTACAAGTCAGAACCTCACTGCTCTCAGTGCTAGACCTCTTCTTTCACAAGGAAAAGAAAGCAAATGGAAAATGAGAACCGGACTGAATTACTTTGTTTTGCTAGTCCAGGGGCTTGAACTCAGGGCCTGGTTGGGTGCTGTCCCTGAGCCACAGCACCACTTCTGGCCTTTTCGTGTATGTGGTACAGGAATTCATGTATGTGAGGCAAGCACTCTTACCACTAACCTACATTCCCAGCCCTCAACTCACTTTGTAAAGACCATAATTTCACAGTGGTATCACAGTTTCCCAAGAAATCACTTATTCATAATATTATATATCAGTTAACCACCGGGAAGTAGGATCCCAAATTGGAAGAAAAAAAAAAATCCACCCCAATCATCTTAAGCTCTAATTAACTTTAGGATAAGACAAACAATTCTATGTATCAAAATATGTAAAAATACATTATACACAGAGTTATAAAGATAGGCAAAGAGAAAATGGTTTAGTATTGATCCATCAGTATATTTCAGACCTAACCATACACTAGAAAAATTACAAATACTGCTATAGAAAATTTAGCACATTAGGACAATGCAGTCTTATTTACTACTAGGAATTTCAGGATAAAATGTCTGACAACAAACCACATTATCAAGATGCTAAAGCACAACTTGAACTTGACTATTTCTACTATTCATCTGGTAATAAACACCCAAAGTGAATCTGTTCAGTCATCAGTCTTTAACAAGAACCAAGATAGAGGAGAAGTAGGTATTTTAGATCCCAAAGAACAAAAACCAGCAATCCTACAAAAGATCACATCAGAGATCTGAACAGAGAAAATCAATTACAATGGGCACAATGCTATTAAGAAGTAAAATCACATCATGGTAGGCATTATGAAACTACAGCATCATCCACTTGATTTTTGTCCCCCATGACCAAATGGAACACATTTCATATTCTAGAATCAATCCTAATGAAAAAATTCTACTGATATTGATGAAGATGTATCACTGCTCAACATTCCCATTCAATAGAAAGAGATTTCTTCTGCCAAAAACTTTAACAATTATTTTGACACCAATAAAAATGTTATCTGACTTCATTTCACTTCAAAGCAAAAATATTACTTCTAACCTACCAACCACATCGCCATTCACCATGCTTTTAAGACTTAAAAGTTGGCTTTTACTCCAAAAAATGAAGAGTATCATAGGTGGTAGTAAAAAGTAGATGAAACTACAATTGAGTTTAGATGATTTTTCTGTGTACTGACCTAAAATATTCATTTCCACAAACATTTATAAAGAACTTGTAGACCACACATGAAGATATAAAACAGAACAACCACTCCATTTTCCAGAGGGTTATCTAAAAGCATTTTTTGTGCAATCAATTAGACACCTACAACACCTACAGAAGCAGGCATTCATCCAAACTGAAGGATGACCTGACATGGTGACACAGGACTACAGTCCTGTAACTCAGGAGTCTGAGACAGGAGAGTCTTGAGTTTGACATCAGCCTAGGTATGCTTCATCAAGAGACTCCTTCTCAAAAATAGACCAAAAAAACAAAAAAAAAAAAAAAACTGAATGAGAACAGCATGTATCTCTGCAAAACAGAATAATGCAGTATCAGTATTGTCATTGGAATCAAGCAGCTGGAACACACTGGCCTAAAAAATCAAGTTTTTACAACCTCTAAATCATACCAACACAACCCACAGACGTTCAATGCAAAACATTTGACATGTCATGTCCAAGTAAAAGAAGCCTAAAATGTACTGGTAGTAGCAGATAACAATAAGTTAACTAACACCATGTTTTCTAAAGCTTCATATTTTTATCTAACAGACTAGAACATAAACTGAAATTATGCATTACAATCCATAAGCAAAGTGATCAACATCAAACAAGCATAAGAAAGTAATATAAAACAAAACCAGTCATTTTTCTACATGTCTAGACTTGTGGGATTTTATCAACTGCAAATGCTTTGAAACACATTAACGCACACTAGTTAACAGGGCACCAGGCAATTCTGATTTTCACTAGTAATGCAGCTTGCAAAAATTACACCATTCAACAAGCTCCAAGAGATATTCACAAAACTCTCCTTTCAGCAAACCCCTCCCCCACAAGGCACAGAGGATGTACTTACTAGAATCATTCTACTCCTGTATAATACAAAACAGTACCTTCCAACTGCCCCCAATTACATCAAGTCACCTCTGTAATCCAAGAGCAAATGAGTTTTTCGAGGCCCCAGAACCTTCAACACAATGCCTACAAATCTCAATACAAACTACCCAGCTAAATGAACGTGTTAGCACTACCCGCGTAAAGCCCACACAGGAGCCCCTCTGACGTTCCACTACGAAGCACATGCTGAAGGCACAAAGTCCAGGCACGTACTAACTAGCCGTTAAGCTTGCTGCACAAATGTCCATCCTCATCACTAACCTGTAGATCCCTCTAAGGCCCTCCACCATTTCACGTGGCTGCAAACGAGCGCCGCCAAGCTTCTGGGAAACTTACTCCATCAGAAAACACCCAGCCTCCATATAGCACGGGAGCAGTAAAGCCCCTTCTCCAAGCTGCTTTGAGGCCACGGGCTTAGTACCCTTGCAAATTCTCTGCACCTGGAGGCCTACTGACCCCCACTTGCTCCTCTACTAGTCTATATCTATATCCCCAAGGATAAACCCCTTCCCAACACTGGGCCTTCAAGAAAATTCATTGACACCCCCTTCGGCCTGCAGGCCAAAAAGGCGGCCGGTTCTCAGGCCTCTTTCTTGGGACTTAACAGCAGAGTACCAACCAGAGCCTTCTGTCCCCCCCAGGTATCCAGACTAGAGTCCCCTTTTTGTTAGTAGGCCACGGAGCCCGCCTTTCCATTTCGGGGGCTCCTCCCTACTTCCAGGCAAAGGTGTAGTTACAGCCTGCGGCCATTTGGAGGCAAGGGAAGCCGTGCCCGTTCGGGGTGTAGGTGTGTTTGCACGGCAGTCCCCGTTAGCTCACGGGCCGCGGGCCAATCCAGCTTGGGCCGCCTCCCTCTCTGCGACCACGGGGGCGTCCTCGCCGTGGCCTCAACCCCACTTCGTAGCACAGGCTCGTCCTCTCCAGCCGCAGAGGCGCGAGTGGCGCCCCAATACCCCCGCAGCCCTTGCCCCGACTCTTTGTGTGGGGCACTCGCTGCGGCGGGCTCAGAGGCCTCCGAAGGCCCCGCCCCGGGCCACCAAGGGGCGGCTCGAGCCCCGCACAGCCCCGCCCGTTCCGGGGCTGCGGGAGTCTTACCGGGGAGAGCTTGGGCGGCACCAGAACCCAGACCTGAGTTACCCCCCGCGCGAGCGCCTCCGCCCCGCGGCCGACAGCCCCAGCCCGAACGGCTTCCCGGAGCCCACCGCCGCAGCCAACACCTCCTCCGCTGCCTCACAAAATGGCCGCCGGCCCGTTCAGCCGCTCCGCGTTCCAGAAAGGGGCGGGATGGAACGTTTGCGTCACTGTGTGGGCGGCGCGGCGCGTGCGCACTGATTGTTTAGGGCGGGTTACCGGAAGTGCCCGTGAGGGCCTTTTAATTCCTTAGACTTAGGGCCCAGGTTGGGCTGGGTGGGGATGTGTGGCTGAGCCTGCTCCGCGGCGGGACTGGAAGCGGATTGCGGCTTTTCTTTCCAGCGGCTGTGGAAGGAGGGAAAGAGAGCCTACCGACAGAATTGTTCTGAGGATTAAACGGCCCAGGAGTTGTGTTATTAATCTTGTCCTCACAAGAGAGTCAACACCAATTTTTTTTTGGGGGGGGGTCCAGTTGTGGGGCCTGAACTCGGGGCCTGGGCACTGTCCCTCAGCTCTTCAGCTCAAGGCTAGTGCTCTACCACCTGAGCCAAGCGCCACTTCCGGCTTTTTTCTTTTTTGCTTATGTGGAGCTGAGGAATCGAACCCCGGGCCTCATGCATGCAAGGCAAGCGCTCTACCACTGAGCCACCTTCCCAGCCCCTCAACACCAATTTTTTACTCCAAAAAACATTTCAATTCAGGAGGGCTTCTCCACCTTATCCCCACCACAGCAATACTTCAGTATTACACTGTTACAGAGGGAGAGGGAGGAGGGGGAGAGGAAGGGGGGAGGAGGAGAGGGAGGGAGGAGGAGGAGAGGGAGGGAGGAAAAAAAGAGTAGGGAGGGTCGGTGGCTCACTCCTGTAATCTTCACTACTGAGATGGGAGAATCGCGAGCAGGGAAGTTTCTGTTTTGTTTTCTGTTCATATAATTTATTGCAGTTAGCACACAATTTAAAAATTCACCGATACACCAATAGTACAGAACTAAAGAGCATAATTAGTTATTCTTCCTTCAGGAAAATAAAACATACTGATTGCAAAGCTAGATGTCAGTCTTAAGTTTCAGAATAGAGGAAGAATGTCAACTTAAATACAAGAAAAAGCAATTGCTCGGGGCTGGGAAGGTGGCTCAGTGGTAGAGCGCTTGCCTCGCATGCCTGAGGCCCTGGGTTTGATTCCTCAGCACCACATAAGCAAAAAGAAAAAAGCCGGAAGTGGCGCTGTGGCTCAAGTGGTAGAGCACTAGCCTTGAGCTGAAGAGCTGAGGGATAGCGCCCAGGCCCAGAGTTCAGGCCCCATGACTGGACCCAAAAAAATAATAATAATAATTGAAAAAGCAATTGCTCACAATGACCACAAAAGAAAATCCCAAAGAAAGTCTGATTTCTCACAGACATTGATTGTCTTCTCTAAATTAATTTTTAAAAAAGCTATTTTAACAAACTATTAAAAAAAAAACTAGAAACTCAAGTAACTAAAGGCTTCAAGACTATTTTCACAGCACGCTACCACTGAGCCACCTTCCCAGCCCGAGTTTTCCATTCTTAAGCGAAAAATAGGCTATGTTTACAGTAGTTAAGGTGATCAAATTTTAAACAAAAGCAATTTAAAAATGGGGGAGAGGGGGAACAGCAAATGTTTTGCATGACACTTCATAGACCATATTTGTAAGTGCAAGACAGGAAAACAAACACAAAATGCTCTAGCTCAGCATACAGGTCACTGGAGCCACACACACACTGCACTGAGCTGCTGCTCATACTCTAACCCCCTTCCCCGTCGATCAAGGCAGTCCAGTCCTTTCAGCCTAGGGCTTTTTTTTTTTTTAAATTGTGAAAATACTGTACAGAGGGGTTACAATTACATGGCAAGATAATGAGTACATTTCTTATCAAGCATTGTAGCCTCCTCCTTTGTTTCCCCTTCCCATCCCTTCCCATCCTTCCCCCTCCTGCCTTCCTCTACTGAATCCTCCTCCCCCCCACCTTAGCCTTAGGGCTTTTTAGGTCTAGAATATTCTAGTGGCTCAGGACTGGAAGCTGAGATCTGAGGATTGCAGTTGAAAGCTAGCCTGGGCAGGAAAGTCTGTGAGAATCTTTTTTTTTTTTTTTTGGGTCCGGTCGTGGGGCCTGAACTCTGGGCCTGGGCACTGTCCTTCAGCTCTTCAGCTCAAGGCTAGCGCTCTACCACCTGAGCCACAGCGCCACTTCCGGCTTTTTTCCTTTCTTTTGCTTATGTGGTGCTGAGGAATCGAACCCAGGGCCTCAGGCATGCGAGGCAAGTGCTCTACCACTGGGCCACCTTCCCGGCCCTCTGTGAGACTCTTATCTTCAATTAACCACTCAGAAAACCAGAAGTGGCATTGTGGCTCAAGTGGTAGAGCTCTCTCACCTTGAACTGAAGAGCTGAATGACAATGCCCAGGCCCAGAGTTCAATCCCTATGACAAAAAAAAGGGGGCAGGGGTGACTAGGAAGGTGGCTCAGTGGTAGAGCACTTGCCTTGCATGCCAGAGGCCCTGGGTTCAATTCCTCAGCACCACCTAAGCAAAAAGAAAAAAGCTGGAAGTGGCACTGTGGCTCAAGTGGTAGAGCGCTAGCCTTGAGCTGAAGAGCTGAGACAGCGCCAAGGCCCAGAGTTCAGGTCCCATGACCTGACCCCTCCCCCCCCAAAAAAAAAGAATCTTCTGGGGCTTGAACTCAGCCCTCGACCCTTGACCTTCAGCCCCAGCACCACTTTTGGTTTTCTGTGTTTATGTGGTACAAAGGAATCAAATCCATGGCTTCATCCATGCTAGGCAAGCACTCTACCACTAAGCCACATTCCAGCCCAGGGCAAGTTCTTGAGACTAATATATCCAATAAACTACCAAAAAAGCAGGAAGTGGAGTTCTGGCTCCAGTGGTAGAACACTAGCCTCAGGCAAAAATGTAAGGCTCTTAATCTCCAATAAACTACTCAGAAAGCTGGAAGGTGGAGAAGAAGAAGAAAGTGGTGCTTGAGAACCTAAATTCTATCAATCCCAAGTGACTCTCTCACACTCAAACACAGTCAACATAAAAGGGGAAAAAAACAGTAAACATGAAAAGCAATGTCAAACTGACAAGCAACTAGATAGACCCTGGAAATTTGCAAATTTGTTTCAAAAACCATAGCTGAGAATTCTGCCTCCATTTCTGGTAGTTTTCCATTGTGTTCAGTTATTCTAGTTGTGGGAACACATAGAACCTATCTGATAGAAAACTACAGTTTAGGTCTACAATGATATTACAGGTCTTCTCCGACCAGTTGATTGTCTTGTGCTCTTTTTACATAGGGTGAGACCAATCAGAACAAAACAAAACAAAGGGTAGAAAACCCTAAGACAGGGCTAGGAATGTGGTTTAGTGGTAGAGTGCTTGCTAGCATGCATGAAGCCCTGGGTTTCATTCCTCAGCACCACATACACAGAAAAAGATAGAAATGGTGCTGTGACTCAAGTGGTAGAATGCTAGCCTTGATCAAAAGCAGCTCAGGGAGAGTGTCCAGGCCCTGAGTTCAAGCCCTAGGACTGGCAATAAATAAATAAATAAGAAGGAAAACCCTAAGACTTAGCCACTTCTCAGAAGATTGAAAATTGGAGGACTGACATTCAAGGCCAGTACAGGATAAAAGTCTGTAATACTCCATCTCAATCAATAAAAAGCTAAGTGCAGGGGCTGGGAAGGTAGCTTAGTGGTAGAGTGCTTGCCTTGCATGCATGAGGACCTGGGTTTGATTCCTCAGCACAACATAAACAGTAAAAAAAAAAAAAAAAAGGCCAGAAGTGGCACTGTGGCTCAAGTGGTAGAGCGCTAGCCTTGAGCTAAAGAGCTGAGGGACAGTGCCCAGGCCTAGAGTTCAAGCATCACGACTTAAAAAAAAAAAAAAAAAAAAAGCTAAGTGCAGTGGCATGCTCCTGTCATCCTATTACACAGGAAGCTTAAATAGGAGGAAATCTAGGTGCTGGTGGCTCATGCCTATAATCCTAGCTACTGAAGAGCTGAGATCTGAGGATGGTAGTTTGAAGCTGGCCCTGGCAGGAAAGTCTGTGGGACTCATCTCCAGTAAACTACCCAGAAAAAGCAGAAAGTAGTACTGTGGCTCAAATGGTAGAGCGCTGGCCTTGAGCCAAAGAAACTCAGGGATAGTGCCTAGGTCCTGAATTCAAGCCTCAGGACTGGCACCAGTGGGATGGGGGAAAGACAGACAATGGTGGTCCAGGACAGCTTGGAAAAAGACAACCAAGACTCTATTCAAACCCCATAATTGTCCGTGGCTCACGCCTGTAATCCTAGCTACTCAGGAGGCTGAGATCTGAGGTTCACAGTTGAAAGCCAGCCCAGGCAGGAAAGTCCATGAGACTCTTATCTCCAATAAAAACCACTAGAGGACTGGGAAGATGACTCAGTGGTAGAGCACTTGCCTTGCATGCTCAAGGCCCTGGGTTCAATTCCTCAGCACCAGATAAGCAAAAAGAAAAAAAGCCGGAAGTGGTGCTATGGCTCAAGTGTAGAGCACTAGCCTTGAGCTGAAGAGCTGAGGGACAGCGCCCAGGTCCAGAGTACAGGCCCCACAACTGGACCCAAAAAACAAAACAAAACAAAAAACAAACAAACAAAAAACTACTAGAAAACTGGAAGTGGCTCTGTGGCTCAAGTGGTAGAGTGCTCACCTTGAGCTGAAGAGCGCAGGGACAGCGCCCAAGCCCAGAGTTCAAGCCCCCCACAACCTACCAAAAAAACAAAACAAAACAAAAAACACGATTAATATACTCTTTTTTTAAATCAATAAACTCTTAACATTTTCCCTTTTTATTTTTTGCCAGTCTTGGAGCTTGAACTCAGTCCTGGGCTCCATTCCTAAGCTTCTCTGTGCTCAAGGCTAGCCCTCTACCACTTGAGCCACAGTAACACTTTTGGCCTTTTTTTTTTTTTGGTCGTGGGGCTTGAACTATGGGCCTGGACGTTGTCCCTCAGCTCTTCAGCTCAAGGCTAGCATTCTGCCACTTGAGCCACAGCACCACTTCCGGTTTTGAGTGGTTTATTGGAGATAAGGGACTTCGTGCCCAGGCTGGCTTTGAACCAGGATCCTCAGATCTCAGTCTCCTGAGTAGCTATG